ACAAGTTTCAGGGTTGTAGCTGTAGAAAACTAAAGGGTGGGTGATAGACATTTGAGGGTGGTAGGTGATAACATTGGTAAACTCTAAATATGAGTGGATTTTAAAGATGGAAAAGTGGGTTAATAAGGGTGGGTGGAGGGCCATGAAATTAGATTTAGACTGGGGGGAAAACTTCAAGGTTAGGTGGTACCACCCACCATAATTACATCCCTAGTTCAGTCGGCTAAACTTAGGCCATATTTAGGCCAGATTATTAATTTTTATTTATTTAATTTTATTTATTTATTTCATTTCAACAGACCAACAGCGAATCATCGCCACTAAGAGGCTGGTAAAATATATAAAATTTAAATATATCAAATATACAGACGAAAGAGTACAAAAATCTCACCTATTCATATGATTAATAATAATAGAACGAAATATAGACAAACTAATGTCAATATTAGAGGTTAAAATAACAGAATTATATTAAAGAGAAAGTCTAGAAATAAAACTATGTTTACAGACATCAACTCTACAAAAGGGGACATTAAAAGTAGGACAGGAATGAAGACTACTAGAATTAACATGCAAACCAAACAGATGTACAAGATCACAACTAAAGTACGAGTTAACACATTTATAGAGAAAAACCATATCGTGAAATAAAAATCTATTCCTAGGACATTAATTTACAAGGGCGATTAAAACATTTTTCAAAAAAACCTAATAAACTTAAGATGCATCTTATCGATGCGAATTAACTGAGATTCGGATGCAGAACTAAAAATAACCCAGCAATATTCAAAATGAGAAGCAAGTAAATAACGATATAAGGCAATTATAATGGCACTAGGGCAATTTAAAAGAAGCATATAAAGTATGGTCATGATGTGATGTAATCATATATAGACACATCATGACCATATATGGGCATATTATGACCATATAGGCACATCATGACCATATGTGGCCATAATACAGCTTTTTGTTAAAGATTCGGTAGTCTGTGCAGGGCTAATGGTAGCCACCGTTTAGTCACTGAACCATGGAGAGGAAAATTGCAAATTTAATGCTAAAACATTTCCAAGCAGTAAAACATAAGACTTTGTTATAGAAACAAAACAATGATCTCTTTTACTCACCTTTGACCTCCACCATTCAACCTGCCCATTATTGTTGGAAATATCTTTGTGTATGTGTAATTTTAATTTTTTTTATGGTTTTTTTTTAAATTATTTTGTTAATTAATTGCAGTACTTGTATTATAAGTAAAAGTAATTTCAAGCAAATATTAACCCTTGATGGTATTTTAAAGCCTAGTTGGCCAAGCAGGGTACTTAATGGGTAGGATATGTGTTGAGAAAATAAGAAAATATGCTCTAAAACATTAATATCCCCGAACCAAACTGGGTACACCGCATACTATCGGGCTCTACACGGCTGCCAACCCCAAGTGACCTCAGCCTCATTGCTATGCCACTCACCTTCCTAATATTCTTCTGTCTTGTTTAAATAAAGATGAAGATATGGGGTTTGGAATGTTTGAGTCGGTACATTCCAGTGCAATGGAGGCTCAATCTTCATATGGCAAGTACAATATTATATTATTTATATACTTACATTCCTTTGTGTAGATGGACCTGGTAATTACCAGGTCGATCTTTGTCGGTTCATAATCAAATCCTCCAGGAATCAATAGGGAGTTTTCGAAGCACGACGTTAACCTTAACATTAACGGATGACGTCATAACTTATTCATCTTGCGTTGCAGAGTACGTTAATTCTAGGATTTTACGTGCTTGACGTACGTTAGTTACGGGTTTGCGCATGCGTATTTCGTAAGTTAAGGTTAACGTCATGCATCGAAAACTCCCTCTTATCATCCATGAGCACCTTTAATTTTTCAGTGGGGAGACCGGTCTCATTTCGCAAAGAAAATTATTTATATAGATTTCATGAGTAATAAGTTTGATCTCAGTGGTGATATTTCAGGCAACAGAACATAAAAAAACCAGATATATTATTATGTTACATTACGCGTTTAGAGACGAATGTAATACGTATTATGTTACATTACGCGTTTAGAGACGAATGTAATACATATTATGTTATATAGAGCACATAGAAACAAATGTTATATGCACCAGAGTTATAGATAGAAAGAGTTGCGACATTGAGAAATTAGAAGCCATTTTGTGTCATACGCGATGCGCGTTCTGTGTCTAACGTGATGTGCGTTCCTGTGTATAATACGGTATTGTATAATACAGTTAGCGGCCTCCTGTATAGTTTAATTCCATTTAATATTTTTAGCAGTCGAATTTCATGTAACTCTGTTTATAGATTTTTTTTAATGATTTCACTACTTTATATCCAATTTCATATTATAAATACTGTAATAATTTACTATTTTTGAGCAGTTCTTTAATCCTCGCCGATAGACCGAGAGAGCCCTTCGATGGCAAGCATTCTTCAATTAGCCAATCCTGCCATATAGACCCTTAAGTAGCTCCTGTTATTTTTGCAAATAAATGATATGTAAGACCAGCAAAAATCAATTAAATATGTATATCAAAATGCAATTAAAATCTGTATATAGGGTATATAGATTGTTGCTCTTTAAATTAGAATATGAGCGAGCCCTATACAAATATTATGTTATTAATTTGATTATTATTATTTATAAGTATTAAAATAGTATAAGTCAGTTGGTCGCAATATATAAATTGTGTTTTGCTGTAAATGTTATAAATTGTAAGTGTTAAATGATATACAGGATCTGTGATATATTCAACTTGTGTAATTGTGTAACGTATATTATTGTATTAAAAGTCTCTGTTTTAATATTATATATGGCTGTACAGTATGTTACTTTTATAAACACACTGCAAGAGCGTGTCCGCTGTTTTAAAAGCGTTGTTTCCAAAATAAAGTTATAATAATTATATAATAGTATGCAATAGAAACATCAAATCATTTTTAAGATTATTAAACATCACCTTTATTTTCATTGTCATTCGTATTTATACAGGCTGTACAAAGAATTGAAATTAAGAAGAACAATAATTTTAATATTGTTTAGCGAACAACTTTTAAGGATCGTCAGAAAAGGGCGAAAAAAAAATTATTTTTTTCTTATTTAGCTTAAATATTTTTCCGAACGCATCTAGGCGAATGAGAAAATAAAATTTTAATGATGAACGTAAACAGTGTAATAATGCAACTAATAAATGATTTAAATTTATATAATTAAGGAAGGAATATATATATATATATATATATATATATTTAACTATGCACTATTAAAAACAATTAAAACCAAAGAAAAGATTATCATTAAATAAAATAGGTCGGGTCTTCGTTGATTAAAATGTGACGAATTAGCGATAATTAAAAACATTTCTAATTTTAATTTCAATCATTTACGCGAGCACGGAATTTACGCGAGCACGCACGCGCGCAAATATTTGATTAAATATGAATTCTTATACGCTGTCCATACTAAGTGATGTTAATTATAAAATATAATTATAAACCCAATTAAGTGTGTGAAATTAATATGCAATGTACGTAACACATATAATTTGCATGTGTTCATCGGGAAGATTATGAAACAAAATGGACGGTGTGTACCACGTGACTTTCGTAAACCAAGGAGCGGAATGTCGCAACTCTTTATATATATGGCTCTGATATGCACTATACAAGTGCACCACCAATTGACCAATAATACAAATTTCAAACCAAATAAGATGCATTTCTTGATGAATGCTAACTATTAAGTTGAATGTATTTCTTTCTCCCATAAATTAAAACTCTTGATTAATCAGGCGATAAAACATAGAAAATTGGGTGTTATGTCACTATCAAGATGCATATTAGGGACTTAATTGAAAGTATAGGTTATAAATAAGAAGTGCTAGTCTACACTGCTTGTTCTTTAACAACATACATCAAGGTTTCTGGCCAAAGTTTACGTTTTCTATGATTTAATAAGAAAATGTGCCATTATTGTGGCATGGTTTTTTGCCAAAGTAGGTGTTTCCATGGCCAATGACAACAGACACATTCCGTGAGGTTTGTTTACAGCGGGTCACATGACATAGTGGGTATTACTATGGAGCATTTACAGTGCAGTCAATGTTAAATATATTACATAGCAACGTTGTAAGTGGGGCTTAGAGATTGCATTGCGACAGGGCAAAAAAGTACTACATTTAACGTGTTGTAGTGAATGTTAGGCATTAAGTATATAATATGACATTATAATTGTTTTTTTTATTTTACTTAATATTATTTTATAAAGAGTTTTATTATTGTTATTTTCATTATATCATATTATTACTAATTCTAATTACTATTATTACTATTTAATAGTATTATGTTCAACAATATTATTACATAATTGCTATTATTATTATAGCTATTTTGGAAGATGATGATGACGATTATGAACATTATGACGATTATGAACAAGAAGACTATAAAGTGAAGTTTAACTTAACGATTTTAGATTTTTTCAGGTGTTATCTGCCATGGGACACGATGCAGAAAGCACACCCTAGCTATATTTCAACAAAAAAAAAGAATTTTTTTTTTTTATATTTTCCCAATTTCATTTAGACTTAAAACCGCAGATGTGATATATTCCAGTTGCTGGTATTTACGCTCATTTTATACAATATTTTATGGAAATCTGCTTTCATAACAGTTGGTTTTACTATTCAGTCCGCTTGGAACATCTAACTGAATAAACGTAAAAACTTAATATACATCATTAGAACACTAAATAGATAAATACTTCGATTTCAATATTGATAATTTTTTTTTATTGCTTTGAATTACAGTAAGTACTAGAAAATTGAAAAAGAAGAAGGCAGCATATCCTTTACCAAAACTTAATTATGGTGAATATAAAGCTTATAATTCAGTTGTATGTATACTGTATGTGTTTAGCTCTACATCTTTCTTCATAAAGCAAGTTAATATTTTCCCTCTTATTACCTGCCTATAGTCTTTTGGTATTTACCTTCCTTTATTTTAAAACTCTCCCAAGCCTTTTGATGAACACATATTTCCCCCAGACAAGGTTTCCAGCCGTTTTAATTTTGTTGCTAATAATTATATAATGATATGTACCATTACCAGTTTTATCTAATTATTCTCTTTATTTCTTTTGCTTTTCATGTTAGGATCGGATTCACCACTTAAAGTGAAAGAAGGTAAATTAGGCTCTGCATGTTTATTTTAATTAAATGCCTTAATGGTGTAGCTGTTTTAAGCAATATAATACTGTAGTATGGATGGCTTACAAATATTGACTGCTCATGAGGGTAATGGCGAGATCTACAGTACTACCACAACTTGATGTGGAGACCATAGCCTGCTATACGGTCTGCACATCACCGAGGGGCTATAGATTTCAACTTCTAGAGCTGTCAATATTTGTTTTTTATACCTCATACACAGATTATACGAGGCCTAGTATAAAAAAAGTAATAAAAATAGTACCACTAAAGTATGCCTAGGCTTCCTCTCTCTCGTTGTAGAGGTTGTGTCCCCTTACCGTCTGTGCATATCTTCTGGGCCTAGAGATTGCATCGCAACAGGGCGAAAAAGTACTATCATTTAACATGTTGTAGGTAATGTTAGGCATTAAGTATATTATTACATGACATTGTAATTGTTGTTTTGTATTACTTAATATTATTTTATAAAGAGTTATTTTTATTTTCATTATATCATATTATTATTAATTCTAATTACTATTATTATTTATTAGTATTACGTAGAACAATATTATTACATAATTGTTATTATTATTATTGTTATTTTTAAAGTAAAAGATGAAGATGATGATGATGATTATGAAGTATGTGGTAAGTGAAGTTTAAATTAATAATTTTAGCTTTTTTCAGGTGTTAACTGTCATTAAATACAATACAGAAAGCACAACCTAGCTATAATTTAACAAAAAAAATAATTTTTTTTTTATTTACATTATATCATATTATTATTAATTCTAATTACTATTATTATTTATTAGTATTACGTAGAACAATATTATTACATAATTGTTATTATTATTATTGTTATTTTTAAAGTAAAAGATGAAGATGATGATGATGATTACGAAGTATGTGGTAAGTGAAGTTGAAATTAATAATTTTAGCTTTTTTCAGGTGTTAACTGTCATTAAATACGATGCAGAAAGCACAACCTAGCTATAATTTAACAAAAAAAATAATTTTTTTTTTTTTATTTACATTATATCATATTATTAATTCTAATTACTATTATTATTTATTAGTATTACGTAGAACAATATTATTACATAATTGTTATTATTATTATTGTTATTTTTAAAGTAAAAGATGAAGATGATGATGAAGTATGTGGTAAGTGAAGTTTAAATTAATAATTTTAGCTTTTTTCAGGTGTTAACTGTCATTAAATACGATGCAGAAAGCACAACCTAGCTATAATTTAACAAAAAAAAGAATTTTTTTTTTTTTTTTTAATATTTTTCCTATGTCATTTAACATTTTTTAGATTCTCTTATTGGACATAAAAGTTGGTATTTACGCTCATTTTATAAATATTTTATGAAAATTATCTAAGCTGCTTTCATAACAGTTGGTCTTATTATTCAGTCTGCTTGGAACATCTAAATTTGGACTGAATAAACGTAAAAACTTCATTAGAACACTAAATAGATAAATACTTCGGTTTCAATAATTACAGTAAGTACTAGAAATTTGAAAAAGAAGAAGGCAGCATATCCTTTACCAAAACTTAATGATGGTGAATACAAAGCTTATAATTCAGTTATGTTTTGGAAACATTTTGGTGCATGAGGGTTTAGAGGTGAAGGTTTCAAACCCTCGCTGTGTATTTAGCATGTTTTCCTGAGAAAGGTACTTTTGATTTGTGCGACGATGTAACCCTAGAGCGGATTCCCTTATCCGTGATCATTCAGCATTTGCTGCACAACATTAGTTTGCTAGTAGAAATCCAGACGACGAGAAATGAACATTCTTGCATGCACAGATAACTTCATGCGATCATTACATTCTGGGATTTGTTGTTGTTTCACATTCACTTTCTATTGCAGAAGTGGGTACCACTAAGAAGCAGTTTACGCAACATTTGTGGCTCAGACTCTCAAATTTGAGGTCGGGGTTCAAAACTCTTGCTTGTTGTCGTTAGTTATCACTTTATCCACGTTGTCTCACTCTACAAAGGAGAGACGTGTGTGTGTGTGTGCACA